GGGTGCCAATTCAGCAAGGAGTAATTGTAGACTATTACATTGATATGTTTTTAGGAAAATTAATGGAAGACTTTTATTGTTTCTCATGTTTTCACCAGATTACAACGTATGCTCAAATATATTTCTAATTATGGAAACAAAATAGTTTTTAAAAATATACATTTGACTACATGACAGGAATTGAAATAATTCCTTTTAATAATTACCAGTTATATTTATTCAAGTATGTAGAGTACAATTATTATTTTTGCCTTAAACAGGTACCCATTCTCTCTCATGTTGATAAGAAAATCCATAACCTCCCACCACTTTAACTCTACTCTGTGCATGGATGGGCATGCCACTCATGATTATTATGGTTAATTTGAGGTGGCTGGTGGTAAAATACATTAATCCAATAAGAATCAACCCAGAAAACTTTGCTATAATTACTGGGACAGAAAGTTTTTCTTCCCATTAGACTTTTAAAGCTATGAGAATTTGAGCCTAGGCATTTGAGGCCAGGAAAGAGCCTGGCTGAGGAGGAATCTGAAAGAACTGGGAAGAGTCCAGGTCTTGATTCTATAGTCTTGAGGCCCGAATTCATAGGAGCTGTGACTTTTTAAAAAAAAATCATTTTATTGGGGTTCTTTCAGCTCGTGTAACAATCCATACATCAATTGTATGTGGACTTTTAATTACAGAGTCAATCTATTTCTTTTTTCAGGTGAAACAGTTATTTTCTATCCTATGTTGACTAATACATATAAGAAAGAGCACAGTTATCTTTTTTGTAGTCATAACATTTTTGGAAATTGTTATCATTGCTAGTTGTAGTACTTAAACTCTTTGCTATTAAAGAAGTAGCTAAGGAATTTTCATTAAGATAATTTATACCTTGGTGTGCTATGAATGACTACAGAGATAAGGAATGCTATCATCTGGACAGAGACACTAAAGTTCAGATTGCTCAATGATGTGCTTTTATTTTCAGCAACATAATCATTCAACAATAAGTACTAATTTCCCTATGTTTTTAAACTTTATCAGTTTTGACTGAGATTTAAAAGGTAAGTATTGCCTACATAAAGATTTAGCACAAATAATCATTGTAATGTTAAACTTCTGCTCTCCAATACAATGAATGTCTCTCAGTAATTTTACTTGTATGGCATAATTCTACTTTGGGTTTTTTTCCTAACAACAAAAATATATTCTAAGAACAGTGGTTTTCAATTATTTCATAAAACTCAGTATGTAAAACAATAATTAATACTTAAGTAGCCTGTTTAGGTATTTCTATGCTCAGAGTCACAGATGTGAGGTATGTGTGTAAAATTAGCACACTCAACAAAATGGAAGCTAACTCAGGATACACACATTCTGAATGTCAACATGTGTCTGGGATTTATTTATACAGGGAAATCTAAAGTAATTAATTCTTTACTTTTCTGCCAGCTGAATGAACAAAAGACCCATATAAACATTTGAAATGTGGAAAAAAGTACTAGAAAACTACTGTCCTCACCATCTGAATAATTTGAGCACTTTAAAAAATGAAGATGATATTAAACTTGAGTGTATGTTTGTTAGAGCTCTAGTTGCAAAATTTACTCTAGATTACGATTTTTGGTCATTTTAGGGGTCAGTATAAAAGATACCAAGGTCCTGAGTTGGATCTCCATATTAGGCTGGAATTCTAAGACTAAAAACGAGACAATCCCTCAATGTATGCCATCTGTCACAAGACAGAGGTGTGAAATTATTACTACCTATCAGAATAAATCTTTACAGTACCGAAAAAATCATTTACCGTATGTGCTTTACTATTTTTTTTGGCTTGGTTTTCAATTAAGAAATAATTATTCTTTCCTACATGTATACATCATATGTTTTAATAACATCTTTTTTCCCCCCTTTTCTTTTAACCTCTAAATCTTACATTTAAGTATTGGAGTATTTGTAATTTGAGTCAACAAAAGTTTCAAGCACAAAAACAGTTATCTGGACTATACTTACCTAGAAAGGCTGCATGAGTCAGGCATGTCTCCACTCCAGTCAATTGGTCCATTTTCTGCTTTCTGTACTCCAGATATTGCACCAGAAGGCTTTCCAGTAATTATTCTGTACCTTTAGGACGGGATAATAGAATAAAACAAGCAGCTCACTTTTGCATGGCCCGTGAGTGAGCTTTACAAAGGTATTTCTTTAATTGTACCTACAATTATCGGCTAGTCAAAATTGTGTGATTGATGTTCACAGGATCCAGGAAAC